CGCCGCGAGCGCAGGAGGAGCCGCTCGGGCCGCCGCGGGTGGGGTCGGAGAAGGAGCAGGTGCGGAGCGGCGGCGGCCGGCTTTGGGAGGCGCACGCGCGCCACCGTGCGACCGAAGGCCTCCCTCCTCTGCCACCGGCCCACCCAGCCCGGGTGGGCTTATCGCCAAACTGGGTGTCCCCGGCAGGGAAAAGAGATGCCTACCAAGAGGAGAGGTGCTGCTTATTTGCAAGGATCGGGGATCAAAACAGATGACGTAACAAGACCTATAGAATACCCAGACTTGTGCACTTTGGAGAATGGGAAAGAGGTAAATCCAAAAACCAAAGGAGGGGAAGAAAGAAAATCTTAATGCTGTGAAAAAGGAGAAAAGAGGTTCAGGGCAGCTCTCTGTAGGGGCCACCTACATCCGCCACCACGCCTTGTCTCTCCTAAAACTCCGCTACGTGGTAAGGAAGCTTCAGGGAAAGTCCCGGGTCTTTTTAAAGTTTTATTTGAAATACATCAAAGCCTTTAGAAGAAAATAAAATGCCTCATCTGCTCCTTTCTGAGGCTGGGTTTTAAGGTCAGTAGTCGCCTGCCCTCAGAGCAAACCAACGGCTCCCATAGAAGCTGAAATGCCAGCCGAGGAGACTTTCCCTCTCCCGTGTGCCCCAGGCTGCCTGGCGCTCCCTGGCCGGCTCCTGGTGATGCTAGTATGTGGAAGGAGGGTTCTGAGGCTCCAGGTTGTAACTGCAGGCTGCCCTCTGGGGAAGTGGCCTGGCACCAGCGCTCAGCTGAAAGCATGCTTTTGCCTAAAGAAGTATGTGCCCTTGGCCCTCAGATGATGGCAAGGTTAGAAAACTCAAGAGCTCTGTGGACTCACACACAGGCACACACATCAGTTAACAGGGTACACAGGGATGGGCTTCATCCAGTAGGCGCAGGATCTAAATCAGAATGTCTCCACCAGCTAGTCAGTGCGTAGCCCTGAGCAAGCTGCCACCTAGTCAAAGATGGCTGAGACCTGGCTTTCTTGGAAGCATCCTCTGACCAAAATGGCCTTAACATTCCCTTCCCCTTGGCTAAACTTTACCCCGCCTCCTACCTAATTGTGGGCCCGGACCTTCCTTTTCTCAGAGTATTTACGGTAGCAGATTTTCAGGTATAAAGACCTGACTCTTCTCCCTACCTCTTGTCAGTTTTACAACTCAAGGATGGCTTTCTCAGGGACAGGGGCAGAGGCAGGGGCAGGGGAGGCTTCCCTTTGGAATGTAATTATCAAGAAAGATCACACTGTGTCTCCCAGTCTTGGAGAGGGCGGGAGCCTAACTTCAGCAGGTTCCCTCTGGTGCCATGGATGACCTCATTCCCCTGACCAGGCTCCTATCCCAGGTCCTCCAGTACTTTTCTGCTAGTGCCTGGGTGCTTAACGACTCCATCTGTTCGGTTCAGAGAAGTTGATCAGACTCTGCCTCCCGCTTGCATATAGTCTTCCTGGCCTCCAGTTTATGGCCACTGCTGTTTTTCTTTGACACCTCCTTCCTCTCAGGCCCACAGAAGGCTCTCCTCAACACAGTCCCTAACACCACTTCTGGCACAGGAAGGGAAAATGCAAATAGGAAAAGCATGCGTCCTGTCTACTGCTTGTTCTTGTCCTCAACAAATCATCTAATCGTCCTGGCCCTCAGGCAGCCAATCTGATGAAATCCACGAAGTGCTTTGTCCAGGTACCCTGCAGAAATGCAACCCATTTGCCCCTGGTATTATATCTGGGCTTTCCCTGGTCTCCAGAGGAGAACCACCCCTTCTATTCATTTTTCATCACAGGCTAGCAAGGAATTGTGTTCTAAAATGAAGTAGCCACACCCTTTTCTGCTGATGCCTTCCAGATCACTTAACACCCAAAGAGATGTTAGGAGGCAAACAAATGGCTGAGAAGAGGAATTGGACTTGCGTTGAGAACAGGGAAGAAGCAAACCAAAAGAAAGTTTCTCCGTGACGTATATGCACTAGCAGCTCCACACTGCTGGGCCGGGTCACCTGGATAAGGTTTTAATGTTTCTAATTACAGCCATGTGCTTGGGATGATTAGTGAATGAACAATACTGCTTTGTGTTGCTAAAGTCCTGTGTGGTGTCAGAAACATCACTAAAAGAAAGCATATGTTTTCTTTCATATTACCACCAACCTAAATATAAGTAGTCAAGAGCTAGCCTGATGTCATTAAAGACACAGAGGCTCTTCCTAGCCATCCTTGGCATGGGTGCTTCATAGTCACAGAATGGCTTCTGGGGCCCAGCCATCCACCTACATTTGAGGCAGAAAGAGGGTAGGAACAAATAGCAAGAAGAGACATTACCCTTTAGAAAGTTTTCCTGGTAATATGGCCAATAAATATCCTTCATTTCCTAATGGCCAGAGCTTCCCAGGAAACTAGGATATTTTTTGAAGTTAGGAATATTTATATTACAAATAAAAATCAGTTGTTTTAATATGAAACAGAGAAAATTGATAGGAAATTAAATTTCCCATGCAAACCTTGACTCTGTAAGTTAAATTAAGGTACTGTATCTGTGAACCAGCCATAAGTGACCCTCAGTCATTATGTCCTGGTGGTTTTGTCATATATGATCTTCTGCATCAACTCAATTTCATCTCAACTCATTATTCCCCATCCAGGTTCTCCTGAGGTTTCACCTGACTTACTGACTCCAACCTTTTTCAAATCTACTTTCCACATGACTGCCCAAGTGAACTATCTGGAAAAGCTCAAGTCTAGCAGCTTCATCTCCAAGGTAGACTAAGTTATTGCTCAGGATTCAGCATAACCGCACCATAAAAGTAAGTCTCCACCATGATGTGTAGCATCTCCCACTGGAGGAGACAGATGTGATGCCCCCTCCTCAGTGGTATTGTCCTTGGCCACATGACTTCTTTCCTAATGGAATGTGAGTGAGCCTGATGAGGTACTGGTAATAACAGAAACCTCTCATTGCAGTAGATGTTACTTATGGATATCTGCAAAAGACACTTCCACTGTGAGTCTCTTAGAATTCCTTGGATTTATCCAGCTTCACAAACCAAACGCTGAAGAGTTTGCTATCCTTTAATCATAGTACCCGTTGAGTACTATGGCAGAAACTTCCAGGAAAGGATTGACAAACCACCAGGATCACTGACAGAAGACAGGCCCAGCCAGCCTGGCCCTCGGGATGCTGAAGTCCCAGGTGTCTTTTGGCTCATGAGAAGAGCTATTCAGCCTCCACACCCTTGGACTCAGCCACATTTGGTAAGCAGGGCAAAGCATACATCCCATGGAAGAACACCTAAAGCACAAGATATTCAGAAGCTTGTATCTTTTGTTGCCTGGTACAGAGAAGGGACATACCTATAGTAATGATCCCTGGTCGGTAGCACTATTTCCACTATTAACCTTCTTTGAGCCCTCTACTCTATGGGTTCTCAAGCTTAGCTATATATTACAATTATCTGGGGTGTTCAAAACATGCTAATGCCTGGGCTCCTCCTGAGAGATTTCCAATTAAGTCTGGGGTGCAACCTGGGTATTGAGGTTTTTTTAAACTCCCCATGTGATTGTAATGTGATTTTAATGTGCCATAGTTTCCAAAGGACTGTTGCAAGTGTCCTATATCCTGTTCAGCAGAAAAATATGATAGAAACTACAAAAGCAGCCACAAATGTGATTTTAATTTTTTAGTGCCTGCATTTTAGAAGTAGTACTAATTTTTAATCACTAATGCTTTATTTAACCTAATATATTCAAAATGTTATCATTTCAACATGGAATCAACTCAAAAATTATTAAGATACTTCACTTTTAATTTTTAGCAAGTATTCAAAATCTCACTTACAGCACATCTCAGTTTAGACATACTTCCAGTGTATGCCATACATGTGTGTCCCACTGGTCCCACCAGCTACCATGTTAGAGATCACAGCTGAAAACTCTTTTGACTGAGGGGTGGCAAGATAGGGTTCCCACCTGTAGTGGGCTACATAATGTCCCCATCCAAATGATATTCACCATGAGCTAATTCTTGGAACATGTGGATGTTACTTTTTGTAGTTAAAAAAAAAAAAAAAAAAAAGGACTGTATAGATGTGATTGCTTTAGTGATCTTAAAATGGGAGATTAGCTTATATTTTAGTAACTTTTCTTATTGCTGAGACAAAAATACCTAAAGCCCAGAGTTAAAGGAGGAAAGGTGTGTTTGGCTCACAGTTTGTAAAAGATTTGGTTCATAGTTGGCTGGCTCCAAGGCAGGCTGGCATGGCAGAGCAGCATCACAGAGGAGAAACAGCTCATATCAGGCAGAAGGCAGCAAGGCAGCCAGCAGCAAGCCATGAACCTCTTTCTGTGATATCCAGGCTACCTGCCTTTAGGGCAGGTAGCACGTACACCCAGGGTAGAG